AATTTATCTACCCAACCACGGAAATTGGGAACATCCCCCACAACTCCCATGGTTGCTAAAAAACAAGGGGGGTAAAATTAGAAAAACTAATAAACTTGAAAGAAGAAGGTACGAGAGGGATAAAAGACCTACGTGCAAAATTCCACTTCTCGGGGAAGGGAATATTATCTTCACCCACTAAACCAACAGTGGGGGCAGCAACAAATCGGGCATACCAGCCACGATCCTCGTCATCCTCAAGGCTTACCAAAACCCTCTTACTCCTGGCTACTAATGTAAAAACACCATTGCGAAAAAGCCTAGGTGAATAAAGATGAATCAAGTGAGAGAAAGTAAAAGGAGCTCGGCTTTAGTGGCTAAATGCCTTAAACAGGCAACAACCCTCCATATGATTAGGCTAATTTGACCCAAGCAGACATTGAAGAAACGGCAAAATTCAAGAATGACTGGGTCGATTGCTGGTCTAAACCCTAAAGTAAAAGGGTAAGTGTAAACAAAAGAGAACCCAATTAAATAAGAAGTAATTCTCTGATTTGGATTAGGGATAATAATGGGAAAATCATTACTCCAATGACATTCCTTACGAACCATATGAGTCAAAACCTCTGTAATTTGAGTGGGGTAAGCATCGACACGATCTAATGCGGAAACCTAGTTTCTAAGAGATTCCTTGTCATGGTAAAAAGACAATTCTGAAGGGACTATCTCATCTACTAAAGGTTCGCGTAAAGGTTCAGAATGATCTTTACCCCTGAAAGAAGATTTGTGAGAAAGGGAACCTCTGGTTCTAGAGGAAGGACCAGAACCAGAAGAAGGCATAGACGAACCACCTCGAGTAGATCCTAAATTACGAAGTCTACCTCCCCTTCTGTGCCTAACAGGGGCATTGGGGAAGGAGTCAGTAATGGAAATTCTCTCAGGGTTAGGGCTCAGAGAAGACATATCAAAGAAGAATGATTTAAGGAACAAATAAACAGAGATTTGGAGAAATAATTGTTCAATAAGCTTTATGTGATAAAAGACAAGGGAAAAAGTTATATTTATACCGATAAGCAACCGCCAAAGGCAAAAGTGCGGAGGTTAAAAGACCATAATTATGATAACTGACACTTCATTAATAGTGGAACCGTAAAAACCTTGAAAAAGGCTGCAAAAACTGCAGAGCCAATGGAAAATCGATACGTGTACGGAATATTAAATGGAAGTGACAATTGAAGCGTCAATTTTGTCATAGCATTAATGGTGACAAAAATTCTCGTTTTAATGAAATCCACTTCCCAAATATTCAATTGATGAATAAATGGAAAGTGGGGGACTATCTGTATTGGGAAAAATTGCATTTATATATGTAAGTGACATGTTGAGACACGTGGACTGGTCAAATAGTTAAAGAATTATAATTAGTCAAAAGGCACGGGCAGCAATAGAAACGAGCAAAGGCAAAGGAAGAGGCATGGGAGGACATTCGAAGGATTCAACGCCCGTACCTATTTAAGTCATTTATCGAAAGGAAGGGATCTGACCATAATAAAGAGCGCAGATACGGAATTCGACAGGCATTAAATACTGGATACGTTAGAGAATTTGTATTGATTACAATGATTGTGTAACGTAGCATTTAATGTCTTTAATTATTCATAATAGCCTCATTATGATTTGGGGGAAACACATATCTTCAAGATACCTATAAAAGGGAGGTATCTGGTCACTTGTAAACACAAGATACAATTGGAATATACTTTGATTCACTTGTTTTTCTCCTGATTACACTCTGGTTACCCCAAATTACTTTCTTCTACATATTGCGTTCTTCTAAATTCTAGCTTTGACTAAAATTCTATTTTTTGGTTAAACATTAGTGATGTTAAATGCCCGGAGATTATATAAATACTAGAGAATAGAGAACCTAGATGATTAAATCCACAGTTGAGATGCAAACCAAACAAATAAATGAATCAAAATCATAAAAGATTAGATACAATAGATAATAAAAGAAAAGGATGGCATAAACATCCCCAAGCATTTGGCTTGTTTTTCTTGATGCCCGACACTCCTAAGGAAGATGATATGTGATGATTCTATAAGATGGCAGTGGTGGTAGCGTCGAGCCTCACTATGAGACTTCATTGCAAGAGTCTCGAATTAAGACTCCATTTGCTTCAAAGTTTACATGTAAAGAAAGAAAAAATAAAATTAGAAAAGAAAACTTAATATAACATTATCTCTTGAACCTGAAATGTTCCAGGAAACTCGGGACAATAGAATGCATCCAAGAAATTCTATTTTTAAAGTAGTACTCTAAATACTTCCTTAAGACTATTAACAGAAATTAAACTTGATATTTAAAGTTCTAGAAGAGAGGACAATAGCAAAAACTATACTGTTGTTCAACAAACATGGGTCAACAAATTTTACTTTTATCATTCATGCTTAAGACATCATAGGCATATGCTATCATGACTACTGACTTGTTTTTAAGAGTTATATCACCTTAAGTGCATACAGAATGATATCAAGTCCTAAAGAGGGTGCTTAATACATATGTTTAACTAGCCATTGGGATATGTCTAACTACGTTATTGCATAAACATGTGTCTTTCACTTTTCCCAAGATCTAAGAATATCATAAGAAACTTGTTTAAAATAGATTTTAGATCACCTATAATTAACTATAATGAACAAGATATCTTTACTGTCAAAATACTCTGAGACATCATAAATAAGATATGAGATTATGTACTATCATGTTCATGGAGTATATTCAAATATAAAAGAATAAGAAATTTTCCTATAGTCATGTTTTCTAATAAAGCATTAATCTTGGGTCATGACTTCTGGTTAATCATTTTATTCTATAGATGTCTCTATCACATATAGCCAAGAGAATCGAAGCAAAACTCCTGAATACAAATTTTAAGCTATTTAGTTGTAAAGAAGCTACTAAAATAATACTTGGATCATCTTTAAACATGGAAAGAAGCCTAGTATAGGATTTCAAGTAAGCTTTAATACCAAACTCTTATTGAATTTTAATCTCAATTTCAGTTAAGAAGGCAACTTATAGTATGCCCACAAGACAGAATGCAACTTCACTTCTTAATCGACATTAAGACAAAATACTTCTATTGCATAATATTAAAGTAGGAAAGCTGTGGTTAATCCTAATTGCTTAATAAATTACCTAATAACTGAAACATCACATATTGATCCAAATATATCATTCTTGTTTAAATGGCACAAGTAAAACACAAATGAGCTTTAATACACAAGATTATTACATAAACAACACCTATGTCGCGATTTCTATGCAGTAAATAATTGCATGTCTTCAAACCAACATTTATTATGAACCTAAAACAGTAACAAGGGAAAAAAAAGATTGAAAATTACGGACCTTTTTGCGGGCAGCGAACCGAGGCGCAAATCTTAGATATACTATTGAACTCCGACCTCGAACTCGCTTCTTCAAACAACTATGAACGTTGAAGCGAGCAAATTAAGGGATCTGCTATGGCTAAAAGAGAACCAAATAGAAAATGAAAGGTTGCAAAATGAGAACATTAGATTTTAGAGAAATTGTTTAGGGTAGTGAAAACAGTAAGCTTCTAAGAGATGGCGGCTGAAGCTTACGGTTAAAGGAGGGGATTCAAGTTTTTTTTTCTCCTCCTCCTCAAATGTGAACCCATTTGACTGGGCATGAAGTTTAAGAAAATAGAAAAGATTTTTAATCTTGTGGTGTAAAATGAGTCACATATATTTTGTGTAGCTATAAATTATTGTGTAAAGGTAAATTGTTTTCAAATAATGAAAGGGGTCATTCTTTTTGGCATAAACTAAAAAGAAAATAGGTTCATATAAATTAAAACGGGAGGGAATATTATTTATAATGAAAAATCTAGGGCTTAATTTCTAGGTGGGATTTGAAATTCACCATTTTTGGTGAGTCTCTTCTGTTAAAGTAAAGTTAAGAGAAGAGGGAGAGAGAGTGAAGTAACAAGTTCCAACCATTGGATTAAGAGTTTCAACAGCTAAGATTAAGTCTGGCATATTTATCAAAACGATGTAGTTTTCATGGGATTCTAGAGTATTCTACAGTTGAGCTAAAGTTAGAGGGCTGATTTTGGAGATGGCTTTTGGCCGAATTGGGCCTTCATTTTGGGGCTCGGTTCAAATGGGGCTGATTAGGACAATCTTTGGGTTGCTGAATTGAAAACTTGGGCTTATGAGTAGGCCAAAATAAAATGATGTTCTCCCATCTTTAAATTTTATTTTTTGAGTTTCTAATTTATTCCAAAATATCCTATTACTTACATCATATAATAAGGTGTAAATATGCCTTAATAAAATTATTAGCATTTGTAGAAAAATAGTAGACTAATTGTTAAGTAAAATTTATAATGTCGTTAGAGCAAATATATATAAACGGTAGGATTAGGGAAAATATTACTATTTGGTTGAATGAAAGAAATGATATGCTTTTCGCAAAAGACAATAAAAGTTATAATTAGAATGCCAAATAATAATAATAATAATAATAATAATAATAATAATAATAATAAGTTTGAATGATAACAAACAGGCATAATTTATGCTACAATAAATGGTAGAATAACTACCTTATATTATTAGTGATATTAGAAGCTTAAAGAAATAATTTGGAAGAAAGGAAGGACAAAATTGGATGTCAACATTGGGGAGACGTCACGACCCCAATTTTCCTTCGTAGGATGTCGTGATGGCACCTAGTCACTAAGACTAGGTAAGCCTAACACTTACTGAACTAAAAGACAGAATTTAACCACAAACAACTATTAAGCATGAAACAGAAATTTCTATAGTAAACCAATAATCCCGAGTGCAATATAATACCCAAAACCGGTAGTACAAGTCATAAGATCTACTGAGTTTACTGGATAAATCTTCTAAATACAACTGTTCCGGAATAGAAATAGACAGTACAAGTACAAAAATCAGAAGGTGACTCTGAGGTCTGCAAATGCGACGACGGGTATACCTTGAGTCTCCACAGCAAAACCCGGACATCTAGCTAGTGATCAACCAACTCCGAAGTACCTAGATCTACACAAAAATGTGCAGAAAGAATAGCATGAGTACACTACAGCGGTACCCAGCAAGTATGAAGACTAACCTTGGTGGAGTAGTGACGAGGAACAGTCAAGACACCTACTAGACTTAACAACCTGTACAAGTATGAATGTGAAACTAATAGGGAAACAATGTCATTATAAAACTAAGCATGGTAAAGAAAACAAAGCTATACTCGCAATAGGACACTAGAAACAACAACTAGCAATAGGTAGCAATTCCATGAAGTAAGCTGAACGAAGTTTAAGTCCGGTGAAACCAAGTAGAGAAAACAAGTAACAACTCAATAAGAGTAACCACTTCCACACAATATTTGTTCAAAGATTTTCCCCGATGTGCTTTGCCTCATAGTCACATTTCATGGGTCCCAATTCATGAATCCTAATCATTTGTCATCTTGTGCCCACATTACAATTCATAATCACACGGACGACTCACATGCCGAGGGAGTGACAGTATCTCATATCCGCAGAACAACTCACGTACCAATAATAACAATGACTCATGACCGCACGGACAACTCACGTGCCAATAGGACAACTCTCACACATAAGGCAAGTAAACGAGAGTATATATAAATGGTCAATAACATCAGGATTCATCTTCTTAAACCGGTATGGGTGATTAATTACATGTATGCTTGAGCAAGTGTTATATCACAACTCAAGTCAACAAGTGAGAGTAGAGGCAATGAATGGAACATAGGAAACCATCACCACAAAATATCCAACGTATAACTCACACAAGGTAGGCACCCCACCCCACGAATATCATCAATAACAATGCCCCCAGGCCATCATAGGTCATCATAAATTATCCCCGTCATAGCCCACCTTGTCTCGCCACGTTCTTAACAATAAAATAAATGTCTGCCTTGTCTTACCACACGTGCATAATAATATTCCCGTCTTGTCACGTTGCATGTGCAAATATCAATAGTAACAAAAGTACGGACAACTCACGTGCAAATACCCCGACAATCCTCTCAACAATACCACGTGTGCCAAAAACATAACGACACAATATAAGGCCTTTCACCACATGTGCCCACATGCCACAACTTTCCCTCAAAACAATTTCAATACTATAACCACGCATACTCAACAACACTAAACACAACAACAACAATAATAATAATAACACAAAAGTACGGCAAGTAAATCAACACAAGAACGACAAAATACAAGGAAATAGAAGAACAAGCTCACAATGAAAGACACAATAGGAAATAATGATTTCAACAAGAATAGCTCAACAAAGGGAGAGATAATGTATAATAATGATTCCACATAAGTATAACTCGACGATACGAGAGATAGCATGAATTAATAATTCCAAATAAGGATAAGTGAACAATGAAAGGGATAACAAAATATCAATTAAGTTTAAGTAATTACGTAAGAGATAATAATAACTTCAATTAAGGTTAAGCAATTACAGAGAAGATAATAATAACTTCAATTAAGGCACATAAGAGTTTATTGGCAATAAGGGTAGAACATGAATCAATCAACTCCAAATAAGGCACGTTAGAGTGAATTTAGTAAAGGGAGAATTTAACATGATAAGACAACTTCATTTTTTAATGAATATAAGAACCTAATAACCTAAAACGGTCAAATTCCTACAAATAAGCCCGCGGATGTACTCGTCACCTCATGTACACGGCTTCAGATGATACAATTAGCACAAATGACTCAAACCCTAAGGGGTAGTTCCCCCACACAAAGATAGGCAAGATACTTACCTCAAAGAAGCTATATCGATACTCTAAAATGACTTTTTCGGGTGAAACAACTTCCAGACGGCTCAAATCTAGCCAAATAACTTAACATCATAAATAAAACCCATAGAAAATAATTCCGGATAATAAAGCTTCGATCTTTAATTAAAACTAAAAGGTCAACCCAAAAAGTCAACTCCAGGCCCGCACCTCGGAATCTATCAAAATTTACAAAATCCTAACACCCATTCTGATACGAGTCCAACCATACTAAAATTATCCAATTCCGTTATCAAATCATCCCTCAAATCCTCATTTTATATTTTTGAAAGATTTACAAAAATTTCCATTTTCTTTCATTCAATTGACGAATTTAATGATAAAAATAATTATGGAATCATGAAATATAATTAATTTCGGATAAGGAACACTTACCCCGAGCAAACACCTGAAGAACCCCTCAAAAATCGCTCAAATCCGAGGTCTCTAGCTCATTAGATGATAAATGGAACAAAACTTCCGATTTGGGAAATAATATTTGCTGCCCAGGTATTTGCACATCGCGATCGCGGAAATAACAATGCGATCGCGAAGAAGAAATATCAACTGCCCAAAAATGCACTATGCAATCGCGAAAATAAGAATGTGATCGCGAAGAAGAAATATCACTGCCCCCAAAAAAGGCACTATGCGAACGAGGAAAAAGGAATGCGAACGGGGTTCATCATGACTCAGCCAACGCGATCGCGGACCATGCTATGCGAACGGGAAGGACAAAGCCTTTGCCTCCCCAACATGGTCGACACTACGCGAACGTGTAAGACAACATGCAAACCCGACGAAGCAACACTCACACGCACGCGATTGCGGGCAAAGCCATGCGAACGTGTAGAAGGAAAAAGGACCAGTCACCAAACAGCCTTCGCGATCGTGGACGACTGAACCTTCGCGATCGCAGAGAAGAAAATTAGATACCAACAATCTGCATTACAAAATAGGAGGAAAAGGCCGGTAGCCCATCCAGAGCACACCCGAGGCCCTCGGGACCCCATCAAAATATGCCAACAAGTTCCATAATATAAAACGGACCTACTCGAGGCCTCAAATCACATCAAACTGTATCAAAACTACGAATCACACATCAAATCGAACTTAATGAACTTATGAACTTTCAACTTCTACAACTCGCGCCGAATCATATCAAATCAACTCGGAATGACGTCAAATTTTGCATGCAAGTCCCAAATGACATAATGGAGCTAATCCAACTTTCGGAATCACAATTCGAGCCCAATATCACCAAAGTCAACTCCCGGTCAAACCTCTTAACCTTCCAAGCCTTCAACTTTCTAATTTTTGCCGAAATGCGTCAAATTAACCTATGGACCTCCAAATCCAAATCTTGAAACACGTGTAAGTGCAAAATCGCCATACGGAGCTATTGAAATCGTCAAAACACCATTCCAAAGTCGTCTATGCAAAAGTCAAACTCTAGTCAACTCCTTTCACTTAAGCTTCTAAAATAAGAATTATTCTTCCAAATCAATCTCGAATCATCCGAAATCCGAACTCGACCACACATGTAAGTCATAATACACACTACGAAGTTTCTCAAGACCTTAAGCCATCGAACGGGGCGCTAATTCTCAAAACGACCAGTCGGATTACATCCTCCCCTTCTTAAACAAACATTCGTCCTTGAATGTGCCAAGAACCATTCCGAAGTCATCAAATCACTGAATGCACTCACCATACATATACTCGCCCCGCGTCACCCCAATCCACATAAGCCTGACAACACCATCTCAACTGAAGATTTTTCCTTCCACCAGCACTAATGAGCCTTGGAACCAAATTTCTCACCATCCGATCATTTCCAAAAGATCCGATTACCACATC